TCACATTCATCTAGCTTTATTTTACATGCACAATATTTTTGGAAGTTCATAGATTATTTAAATAAAATTCAAGTGATTGAAACAATATGGCAAACTAAATAGATTTATTTAACTCACAAAAACAAAAAAAGCTAAATTGTCCAGATATTGGTAATCACACTCATCAGCACAGAGCTCTGCAAAATTATTTTTGGACTAAAACATTCCTAAAATAGATAAAAGAAAATTGGTTTTGGCTCAGACTTGGCGACACTGACCAAAAATACCTGTGACAACCAACACCAATCTCCCTGCAAACGCCAGTCTTTGGTTGGCAGCAGTTTCCAGGTTAAGATTTATAAAGGCAGCAGATTTTAATATTGGTTCCTTTGTAGCATTGTTGATTAGTCACCAAAGATGTCTGTAGAAATTCTTGAAGAACCAGCCACTCACATGATGATCTCCTGATAATGGCTCTCACTTTGGTTTATAGAAATGAACCTTATTAGCCCTTTCTGTACTGTTAGATGGTACTGAAATAAAGCTAATGCAACAGAGTAAGAAATTAGCTTTCAGAGGCACATAAAGAGAGAAAGTCAGCCTTTTTCTCATTTGAAGACCTTTTCTGGTATTAAAAGTCTAATATCTCTACAGGATCTGGAAAAAACAATTTATCTGTATCTTACAGTAAGTGGAACAGTGTCTCCACAGGTCTTCTTAAAAAGTCAGTTAGACTACTTTGCATAGTTAGAACCAGAACAACATGGAGAATCAGAATTTATTCCTTAAAAATAAAACCCTCAGTTGAATCTGTTAAAACTGTTTTCAAACTAACATATGTTACATTTCTGTACATAGGGCATGATATACTACTTTTTTATTTGTTAAGCCAACTTCATGTTGTAAGATATTATGGATGGAGCTTAAATCTAAAGTGAAAAATGTGACTACTCAAAGCAAGGTTTGTAGTGTTATCTTGGTGTTTGTTATTTTAAGGGAAAAGAAGATAAATAGTTGAAGAACAGAAAAGCCCTGTTTGGTGTTTTTATTACATACTGTACCCTTGAAAACAATCTTTCAATTCCCTGTTGATCTATGAGAAGAGAAATATTGAACACATAAATTGAATTTTTGACACAATATACTATCTTTTAAAATCAGAGGCCTCGTCCACAAGAAGGCAAGCTTAAGCATAAATAAAAAAAAAACTTTATCAAACCTGTGTATTATCCACACGAAGCTGCCCTTTTGGGGTCTGCAATCCAACTTTTTTTTTTAATATTAGATAGTAGTAAATATATATCAGAACTGTGTTTAAGCGGTTCTTTGGTTATTTTCTCTTCCCCAACTTTGAGTAGGACGGTTGCATTATCTGCCTGGCTTAGACAAGCGCGGATACTCTCCCCTCAGAAAATGACAACAAGTGTGCCATATAATGTTGTTCACATGCCACAACTCCTTTTCAGTTTGTAAGGTAAGCATCATTGCATCACATTTTCTCTTTGTGTGGACAAAGCCTTAACATGTTGTCTATGTCAAATAACACACAACAGCAAAGTATATGACACGGTTGATAGAAAATTACACAAACATTCTTGAGAAACTGGTCTGTCAAGAAGTGATAAAAGGCAGTTGTGCCAGGAATCAGGATGTAGTCACGGTGGAAAGTTTTTACTGCAGTGATACTCAAAATTCTAAACAGATTTTTTGCCTTGGGGTTCACTAGTTGGTATTTTTCCAATCAATTTATTTTCTGGTTTGAATTCTAATTTATTTTCAAAAATGTCTTCTGAGATTCTTATAACTTCTTGCCAGTATCGTTGTACAATTTTGCAGGTACAAAAAATGTGTAAATACATAAAAATGTTCACAATTTTCCAACATAAAGCCTGTTGCTTGTGATATTATTTAATCCTTTCTAAGGTTAAAAAAATATCTTGTCAACAGTTTCCAAAAAAATTCTCTCCAAACTAAAGACCAAGTTGTTTTAGAAATTTCTTTACATATTTTTTTCCACACATTTTTCTTTTTTTTTCATTTGTATCTGTAACTTTTCCTAGCATTTTAACTTAATATTCATGGACATTTTATCTCTGTGACTTAATGGAATATTATTTAGTTGCCCTAAAACATTTTTTGATTTTGTATTGGATTATTTTGCCATTAAACCAGATTAGTGGATGTACATCCTCTTTTGTCTTTATTTTACTTTTTACTCAGTGTTTTACATATATTTATAGAAATTGTTTGATGATATGTGATATATTTTTTATATATTTTTAAAAGACTAGTTCATCACCGTTAATTATTTGATATTATTTTACAAGCCCTTTTTCTGCCCAAATGCCCAACATTTTTTCTGTCGACTTCAAAGTATTATTTCTTCCTAATTCTTTTCTAGTTCCTGTATTATTCTTTGCCATGTTCTCATAGTTTACATTAGTTTCTATGTATTTCTTCCTTAAACTTTGGCATTGGTGTTTAAATATTACTGATTTAAGTTTAGGTTTGACTCTATTTATCTATTTATGTCCATATTGAAGAATATACCTTACTTATCCAGACTTATTATGGACTTTATGTTGGGATCCAAGGGCGCTGTGGATCCTCTCCTGGGAGCTGGTTCTCTGCGCTCAGCTGATTCCCATCAGCTCTGCTGATTAACCTCTCCCTATATAAGCCTAGTGATAGCTTCTCTCTGAGCCGGATCGTTGCCATGCCAAGCCATGCTATGCCATGCTCTGCCATGCCATGCCTTGCCGTTGTCTTAGTCCTGTCCTTGCCATGGAAGCAAACCAGAGCCACCCTGCCTGTTGAACTCTGCCTGTCTGAACCTGCAAACCTGTGAGTTTGAGCCTGTAATCTGTACCAGAGTCTAACCTGTTTCTGTCTTCTCTGCCTCCCAGGAGGGATACCTGTGTTCACTAATAAATATTGGACTTTAATCCTGCCTGTCTGATCTGTGAGTTCTGCATCTTGGGCTAGCAAACCAACCACATCATGACAGAACGATCCGGCCAACAGGCTAGCCCAGCAGACTCCTTCCACGCTCACCTGGTGAGGCCCGCTCAGCGCCGTCCGCTGCCTCCCAGGTGGGAGGCGCTGCTTCGACACTATGATGAGATAGTGGCCTCCTTAGCCCCTGAGCCTGCTCTGAGCCGTCTGGAGACCCCTGAGCCCGCTCTGAGTCGTCCGCCCTCATCCTGGTGGGAGAGGGTGCGCCGGCGTTTTGGGGAGATGGAGCGGCGTCAACGTGATGAGGAGTGGAATCGTCGATGGCAGGAGATCTGGAGCCCTCCAAGGACCTCTGTTCCTGTTTCGGAACCGCAGTCGGCGGCTTCCGGTCCTCCTGAGTCGGAGCCACTGTCGGTGGCTTCCGGTGCTCCTGATGCGAAGCCGCAGTGGGCGGCCTCTTCTGTTCCTGATCCGGAGCCGCAATTGGCAGCCTCCTGTGTCCCTGTGGAGCCACAATCGGTGGTTTCCTCTGCTCCTGATGCGAAGCCGCAATGGGCGGCCTCTTCAGTTCCTGATTCGGAACCGCGATCGGCGGCTTCCAGTTCTCCTGGGGGGGAGCCGCAATCGTCGGCCTCATCTGTTCCTGATCCGGAGCCACAATCGGCAGCCTCCTGTGTTCCTGTGGAGCCACAATCGGTGGTCTCCTCTGTCCCTGTGGAGCCACAATCGGTGGTGTCCTCTGCTCCTGGTGTGAAGCTACAGTCGGTGGCTTCTGGTGTTCCTGATGCGGAGCCGCAATCGACGGCCTCCTCAGTTCTGAGACTTTTCCTGTCCTCGCCCACTCCGGGTGGGTTGTTTTGATTTCTGGACCCTGTTCTGTTTTCTGTGCCTGGCCCTCCTTGCCTGTTTTCCCCTTCGCTCGCCCTGGGTGGGTTGTTTTTGTTTTCTGGTTTTTTGTTTTTGGGCGTCTGGTATCCGCCCTTGAGGGGGGGGTACTGTTTGGGATCCAAGGGCTTGCCCTCCAGAGGGTGGGTGGATCCCTTCCTGTGGGCTTCTGTTTCTGTTGGGATCCAGAGGTTTGCCCACCAGAGGGCACTGTGGATCCTCTCCTGGGAGCTGGTTCTCTGCGCTCAGCTGATTCCCATCAGCTCTGCTGATTAACCTCTCCCTATATAAGCCTAGTGATAGCTTCTCTCTGAGCCGGATCGTTGCCATGCCAAGCCATGCTATGCCATGCTCAGCCATGCCATGCCTTGCCGTTGTCTTAGTCCTGTCCTTGCCATGCAAGCAAACCAGAGCCACCCTGCCTGTTGAACTCTGCCTGTCTGAACCTGCAAACCTGTGAGTTTGAGCCTGTAATCTGTACCAGAGTCTAACCTGTTTCTGTCTTCTCTGCCTCCCAGGAGGGATACCTGTGTTCACTAATAAATATTGGACTTTAATCCTGCCTGTCTGATCTGTGAGTTCTGCATCTTGGGCTAGCAAACCAACCACATCATGACACTTTAATTGTGCAGCTTCAAAATATGCGTCGAGATCCGGTAATGCCAGTCCATCTCCTCTTGATTTTGTCAGTCTCAGATTTTAACGTAATTCTGTGTAGGAGTGTTGTTCCCAAAGTCAAAGCAGTCATGAATTTAAATGTGTTAAATAATGCACCCTTTATTCTGTATAAACTTCAAATATTCACAGACTTGCAAAAAAACAGTAATAACTGGTATCTTTGATAAACATTTTGATAAAAAACTATTTAAGATATATTTTTACTTTCTTTGGTGTGGCGCTCTTAAAACAGTTTGGCCAAA